CTCTCAGGACACAATGGGCAGGAAAAAGCAGGGTCCGGAGCGGCCTGGGCTCACTGTGACAGCTCTTGCCACTGAAGCTGTTTCCAGAGAGGGGATGGAGGTGGGGTGGGGACAGAGGCCCTGGAAGAAAGGTCACGAAGTGTCTGCCTCCTTCCTCCTGCAATGGCTAGGTTCATCGGAGTGGGCCAGCCTCCTGGGCTCCCTGTGACCTGCAGCTCCTACACCCCACAAGGACGCTGACCCTGGGAAAGGGCAGTTTGGGTTCCATGATGCCGACTGGTGGGCAGGAGCCTCTGGGAAGAGCCTCCTGGAAACCCAGTCTTCCTGCACTCAGAAAATGCACACAAGGCATTTGGTGCCAACACTGGCAAGGAAACTGGAGACCAGCTTTTTGTTTGTTGTTTATTTTCTATTTATTTCAAAGGAACTTGATTTTTAATAAGACTGGAGCTTAAAACGGTTTCCCCTTTCAATGCTCCAAAATCCAAGCCCTCTGTACAAAATTAAAAACAAAAGTGGGCTCTTCTATAAATGCAGCTTGATCTTGCTCTGTAAAACTTAAAACTGGAAGGTCATGAGGGTAGATAAAAATTTTTTGATGAAAAGAAACTAGAATCTAATGGATATTTCTATAATACTGAGTAGATGTTAGAGCAATCTGGTCGAAGAGATCTACTAGACGTAGATCTTGATTCTTTGAAGGGGGGAAAAGCTATTCGATGGGTGCAAAGATGTAGCTCACTCACTCTTGCTCTCTCCTGCTCATTCTCTTCTGCTCTTTAAGCTCTCTCTGTCTCGCTTTCTCATTCTTATTCTCTTAGTTTCTCTCTTATGCTCTTCTCACTCTCTCTTCTCTTTCTCCCCCTCTCACTGTCTTGCTCCTCTGTATGCTCATTCTCTCACACATTCTCACTCTCTTCTCACTCCCTCTAACTCGTCCTTGCTTGCTCTCTCATTTGTTCTCTCTCACTCTTGATCTCTTGTTTTCTCTCTCTTTCTCTCTGTGATTCTCCCTCACTCTCTCCCTTACACTCCAACTCATGCTTGCTGTCACTCTTGGTCTTATTCTCACTCCCTCTCTTCCAATGACTCTCCCTCCCTTGCTCTCACTCTTTCTCGTTCTGGCTTGCTCTTGCGCTCTTACCTTCTCTCGCTCTTTCTCAATCTCATTCCCTCACTCTTGCTCTCTTGTTCTCCTCTTTCTTGCCTTGCTCTCACTCTTTCTTGCTCTATTGCTTCTGCTCACTCTCGGTTGTTTTCTCTCACGCGCTTTCTCTCGCTCTCACTTCCTTTCTCTTATTCTCTTGCTTTCCTCTCTCATTCTTTCACTCCCTCTCCCAGTTCCAACTCTCTAGCTTGCTCTAGCTTACTCTCACTTTCATACTTTCTCTCTTTCTCTCTCACTCTCACTCATTCTCATGCATGCTCTCTCTCTCACATGCACGTTTGCTCTCCTGGTCTCTCTCTTGCCAGGACCCTCACTCTCCATGTTCTCCTGTTCTCTCATGCTCTCTCACTCCTACTCATTCTTCTGTCCACTCATTCACTCTCACTTGCTTGCTCTCATTCTCTCACTCTCACTCCTGCTCATTCTCTCACTCTCCTGCTCTAGTTCTCTCTCCCCCCACCTCTGCCCTCTTTCCATGGCAAGTGCCGCCCCACTCCTGCTGGAGAGATGTTGATAGTGGGGAAGGCTGTGTGTGTGTGTGTGTGTGTGTGTGTGTGTGTGTGTGTGTGTGTCAGGGCACCTTCTCCTGCACCTGCTTAATTCTCCTGTAAACACAAGAACCTTCTAAAATACAAAGTTTATTCAAAGAGAAACAAGCAACCACTGCTCTGCAGACGACCCTGCTAGGGAGATGACGGGAGCACTGAAAAGAATAGGAGATGGTACCAGAATCCACTTCTAGAGCCCTCGAGGGCAGAAGGAGTGTTGAGGGACAGAGGCCACCATGACCACTCCATCATGTCCATCTCTCTAGAGCATCCAGTGCAAGGGACATGGGGACTCAGGTCTGCATCCTGAGCCCTTTCACCATGAAGGTCATGGAGACCAGGACTTCCCATCTATGATGCAGCAATCAGCACTCTGGACCCCAGACAAGGGAAGGGTGTTCCTCTGAGCTGCCTGCCATGGCTACGCTGCTGGAACACTGGGGCTCTGTGCAGGAAGTTCGACACTAAGATGCAGGAGCCCGATTCCCAAGCAAGCCTCTGACTCTGCCCTGTGTCACTTCTGGAGAATAAGGAAGAGGACCGTGAAGTGGATCACAGTGCCCCTGGGTAGGGAGTGACGAGTGACCTGGCCAGTAGAGGTGAGGGCAAAGGGCTCCAGAGCCCACAGACCCTGCCAGCCCCACAAGGAGCTTAGGCCTCCCTGGACTTCCTCCCTCCCACCAGCGAGCACGTGCTTCCTGTTTCCTGGCCTGCAGATATCACCTTGGCTGCATCTATCTTCCTGCTGTGACTAGCCCCTCCTCTGCTTACATTCATCTGATCTTCCCTGAAAACATCTTAGAGCTCTGACTAGAACATTTCTAACACAGTACTGTGTCCTTGACGCATATTCTCTGCCTTCCAAGAGGTGTTCCAGTATGCAAATGCCTCCGGGCCCTGACACCCAGGATTCATCTTGCAGGAGCTCCCACGCTGCTGCGCAGACAGAAGGAAGCAGGCAGCCGATTCCCACGACAACCTTCCCGCCGCTCTGCTGCCTCCCGCCCCTTGATGGAAGCGAGATTTATTTCCACAGCCAGTGCAGCCGCTAGGACCAGAGATGAATGAGTCCCGATCGAAAGAGGGAGGCACCCCTCTGCCTTCACTGGGGTCTGGACCCCACGGAACCCCCCATTCCACGCCTCCCCTGAGGTCTGCTAATGATTATAAATGGCAAAGAACCTCCAATTTAATTGCAAAAGGTAATGATGCAGTGAGCATAAGATTAGATTCACCACAGAAGGCAATATCCTCAAACAATAAAAAAAAAAAAAATTGAGGAGCTGGGTGTGAAGATGGCTGGAATCGATAGGAAGGTTTCGGTATTAAATACTACGGCAGAGGGTCACAAAGTGATATTGACAGAACTGCTGACAGAAGATAAAAAAAAAAGGGGGGGGGGAGAGAAACTAAATTGGTCTCTGCAGAAAATAAGTTACAGATTAATCACCCTACCATAAAATCATTTTGTGATGACTTAGGGTCTGAAGATGTGTGCACAGCTTGATTAGAGGACGGGAATGCCAAGCTGGAAAAATGGGAGCCCACGGGATCCGAAGGCACAGCCCGGGAGGGCCCTGTGCTCCTGGACACTCCCTGCTACACAGACAGGGCAGTGTTTGGGTGCCTCCGCTCGGTGTCATGGCGACCCAGGAGGTAAGTGCTGCATCCAAGTGTCTCCCACGCCTTTGGCACTGCACCAGAAAGCATCACTCACTCTCTGCTCAAGGCGGGCAGGAGCAGCTACTGAAGTAAGTTGGAGGATGGGGATCAGGGAGGAACTGCCTTCGACTCTAACCCAGGTGCCCCATGGATGCCGCCCAGGAGACGGGGATTCTGGAAACATTTTCCCTGAACCCGCAGGGGACCCAGAGGGAAATGACTCTGGGGGGGGGGGGGGAGACTTTTGTTTCCTGATTTTATTTAAAATTTTGGATGGAATCTGCACTCAAATGTATGACAGAGATACACCTAATTTTTTTTTTTTAGAATTATCATGAAAACTGATTCTTCCTCTCCTTAAGTAGGGCTGACATGCTAGGAAAGCAGGCAACTCTCTCTGTCTCGTGGAGTGCTGGGAGACTCCCTTCTCACCAAGGAGTCTGAAAACTTTAACAAAGCACTTCATATTTCTAGTAGTCTAGCTTCTGTGCCACAGATTGATAATGATAAATCACTATTCATGCCATATCTTCCATTCAGGGGATTTATTAATATTGTATGTTACCTTGAAGGAAACGAGCTAAGTAAGCATGATAGGAACAAATAAATATACGACGAGACCATCACTGAAGAAATCTGCCCAACAGGGTTTGTTCCCAATTCCTTTTCAAGCCATGGAGGCACCCCCATGGCACCCCCTGGCACCCCCAACCCCATCCCTGACACCCCCCCAACACACACACACATACACACCCTAGGATGTGATGTTGTAATAAGCATCATTTCAAAGTTTCTGATTTTTCTCTATAAAGTTTTTTTCACATGGAAAAATGAAATCAAGTGTGAACACATGTAAAAAGCACATTTTACAAATGAAAATTTAAAGGAATGAGATATGAAACTAATGTACACTAATCTGAAAAACATTTACTCTATAGAAGATAAAAGTATTAAAAGAATGAGCAGGTGAGAATAAAACTGGTTCCAAAGAAAGTGCATGTAAAAACTAAGCAGGTCTGAGAATAAACCAATGGCCGGTCCTAAGAGACCCAGCTCATGGGAAATGTGACCCAGGAGCCCAGAGACCCCCCTTCCTAACCACTGAGCTGGGGGCCAGCATGTAGTGACTGTGATTAACTGTTGACTGGAAGACAAGAAATAGGGTCACTGCATCATGGTGACCCTGGCATGAACTTTAAAAGAGGCAACTGATTCCCAAGGATTAGTATTTTATCAATGTTTTCACCTACAAAGGTGATTTCACACAGATGCCCTTTTAAAATTCACTCATTAAAAAAGGAAATAGACTAGAAATGAAAGAATATACTTTTGGTGATCCCACTGTGACTTCTGGGCAAATCACAGCAACAGGTAGAGTACCGGCAACTCCGGGGCCCAATTCACTACTTCGTACAAGCTGCATCACACCAGATGTGACTCCGGAGAAGCTGTCGCCTGAGTTAACCTCTTAGTTTTCAGATTTAGTGCATTTCACCAGTGATTTTTCATCTAGTGTCACAATGTCTTAATGTATATGAATCAAGAGGTACAGTCTGAAATCAGCAGAAAATTTCAGTTAAACAGGAGCAAACAGTTATGACTGTGGCATCCTTCTCACTTACCACGGCCTGGCTGGAGCTCTCCTGCAAATCCCACAGCAGAATATGGTTGTCCGCCAAGGAGATGACTTTCTTTCCATCTCCCGTTGGTTCCCACGTGACACTGAGAAAAGGAGAAAGTCAGACATTAATAATACCAGCTTTGGGGGCCAGAGCAACAGTGCAGAGGGTAGGGCGTTTGCCTTGCATGTGGCCAACCCGGGTTTGATCCCTGGTATCCCATATAGTCCCCAGAGCACTGCCAGGAGTAATTCCTGAGTGCAGAGCCAGGAGTAACCCCTGACCTCACTGCGTATGGTCCCCAAAGCTAATAATAATAATAATAATAATACCAACTTTTCAGAGCCCCAGGCTTATGGCTGAAAGCATTCACATGGTATTCAGAAGCATGGAGCACTAGCCCTTTCCTGGTCCACCAGACACGCTCTGTTAACAGCATTCCATGACATGGCCACCACCCTTCTCTCTACTGTGAACTCAAAGTCCGTCTTGCTTCCCCTGCCCCCACTTCACCTGGAGTTAGGAGGCAGAGGTTGAGGTTCAGAGGGGTGCTGAAAGTAAGCTGAGGTCAGGAAGGTAGGCAGGCCCACAACGGGCCCATGTCAGACCTTGGGGTGTGCACATACTCGCCTCTCCCCATCTCTTACTCTCTCCATCTGTTTCTCAATCTCTTTCTTACCCTCCTTGTCTCCCTCTCTAGTTCTCTCTCCATCTTTATCTCTCTGGCTTCATATGTAACCTCTCTCCTTCATGTAACTCTGCAGCAAGAAGGAGGTAATCTGGAAGTTTAAAAGTAGGGATCCTCACCAGAACCAGACCCTGCTAGGACCCTAACTTCCAACTTCCAGCCTTCAGAACCCGGAAACAGATCTCTTGGGTCCTATTCCTGCAGCCTGAGTTGCCTAAGCACATATATCAAGTCTGAGGAGTGGAGATTTGACCAGGTGTGGCTAGTGAAACATAAGAGCTTCGGGAAGTAAGTTTCTAGAATGCTAAGAACCTAGTCTGGAAATTTTGGACAGGATGCTGATATCTCTGTCACTATCTCCTCACTGATCCAGAGGTAGCGCCAGCAGTGATGGAGAACAGAAGGCAGAGCCGAGTGCTGACCAGGAAAAGGTGTCTCAGCGCTCCTGTGGCCACCCAGCATCAGCTCTGCCTATGGCATAAGGCAACTTTCTCATGCTGCAGCCAATTCCAGTCATGGTTTTCTGTCACCTGCAGCCCACACTGACATGCAGATTAGAGTAACTAACAAAAGATCCTCCATCATAGCATCTCTATGGGAAAACCATAAGGACATCAACAATTCTGCAGCTTGGACAGGAATGTGGGTTTCAGTCTTCCCTGATGAAATTCTTAATGTGCCTGTAGCGAAGAATTTCTTCTCACACACTCTGGCCTGCGGAAGCCCCACGAGCCAAGTGGAGAGCTGTGCCGTTCCTCTCTCTGGAACAGAACACAATACCGAGTGATTGGGGGCATCCCCGGGTCTCCACCCTCACGCCTTCTTTTCAGGCCTATCAACGGAGCTATGATTGCTTTTAATCACAACATTAATATAATTCCAAACTACAAGCCTGTCTCGTCTACAGTGTAGCAACCACACACAGTTCACAGCACCGTGACAACAGGTATGCCACTCGACAATAGAACTTTCTGTGTCTTCTGATAATCACAATGAAGAATGAAATGAAGATATTCAGGAACAAAACCTATAGTAGCCCTCTCTTTGTGCCCCTTCCACCTCCCAAATAAAGGCCTGTTCTAGTTGTAAGATACTTCCTCAGAGCATGGGGACCAAACGTCTCTCTTGGTGAGGGCTGGAGCGATAGCACAGCGGTAGGGCGTTTGCCTTGCACGTAGCCAACATGGCCGACCGGAGTTCGATTCCTCCGCCCCTCTCGGAGAGCCCGGCAAGCTACCGAGAGTATTCGATATGCCAAACACAGTAACAACAAAGTCTCCAATGGAGACGTTACTGGGCCCGCTCGAGCAAATTTCTCACAAGTAAAGGCAAATGGAGTTCAGATGATGAATCCCAAGGGGAAATGCGAAACTGGAAAAGGAAGATGAAAAATTCACATCCATGCTTCCCATCGACTTTAGTCTGCTCAAGCTACCATAACATGGACGAGAGTCTTAAACAACAGACATGCAATCCTCACAGTTCTGGAAGGTGAGGACTGAGGGCAGGGTGCCATCTGCTCAGGCCTGCCTTGGGCAGAAGCCACCTTCACGCTGCCTCTTCACCTGGCAGAGAGCAGAGAGAAGCTCTCCCCTCAAATCCCTTTCTAGCTGGCCCTAAGCCCATCATAAGGTTCCACTGCCACAACCTCATCACCCAAATACCAACACATCAGAGATTAGGGTATGAACCGTGGATTGAAGGAAACGGTTCATAATTACATACGCATCAGGAGCAAAGAATTTCTAATGATTTGTTTCTTTTTATTCTTTCTTCCTTTTTGGGAGGGAGTGGGGGGGGTCATACTCGGCAATGCACAGGGGTTATTCCTGGCTTTGCAATCAGAAATTACTCCTGGTAGTGCTCTGGGGACCATATGGGATGCTGAGAATCGAACCCAGGTCAGCCACGTGCAAGGCAAATGCCCTACCCCCTGTACTATCACTCCGCCCCTTCTACTGATTTCTAAGCTTGTCACCAGCACTCACTCATAACAGAAGCAGGTGCCATCCCTCGATGCACACAAAAGCCAGAATGAGGGGTTCCGCTCAGCTTGCGAAAGACAACAGAGGCAGTCACTAATGGACACAGTGTTAGCGAGATACAGACTGAAGTCATTACAGATGCATGGAATCCTGAACAGAGGCTCCAGATAGCCAAAGATCTCCAGGTCTCAACAAATCACAGGACAAGAATTAGCCAGTGTACTCCTCCCAACGACTGCTTACCTAACTAGGAAGTGAAGTTGCAGCTCGCAGACCCTCTGCATTCTTGTCACAGAGCATTTTTAACAACACTCACATATTTCTTTGGTACCATGAATACTGGCTGCCATTCCCCTGGTCAGAGTAAAGGTTTTTTGCAAGGCACATCCAGTTAACTGAAAAATTATTTTTGCATTCTCCACAGTGACCAGGAGTATTTGGAGTATACAGCATTCAATACAGGAAACCCTCAAATTACACCCTCAAGTTCGAATGATTTTATTCTAGTGCTAATATGAGGGAAACAGAAATATCCAGCAGACCTTAAAGAAACATTTTTTAAAGCTAATATGGGACTTCTTTGGTTATACACCATTTTACTTAAACTGGCAGTTTCTAAGAGATACTAAGTGAGGATTAGCTCATGGATTCTAACAAAGGAGTGAATATTTTCAGGTAAGCATAGAAATAGCACAGAAAAAAATGAGTCCATTTTCAACATAATGGGAGAACTCATCCACAATATTTGAGTTGGGGAAAGGGGGGTTGAGAAGGAGGAGCTTTGGGGTCCTTGGGAGAGGAAGGTGGATATACCAGTGAAGGATGTGGTTGGAATTATGAAAAAAAAAAACAATGTCACTAATATTGTAAAACATACACAAACACACATACACAATTCACTGCAAATATGTCATCCACCTCACCAATAAATAAATAAATAAAGCCATTTAAAGGACTAGAGAGACAATATAGGAGGCAAGGTAGAAAGACCGGACCCTGGAGATCAGGACTTGCACAGCCCCCATATATTCTAGAATTACCTACAAAGTTAGACTCAAGTATGTATTTTAGTACACACACACACACACACACACACACACACACACACACACGTGCGCAGGCATGCACAGTGGTCCAGTGCATTCTAAAACATCTACCTACGACATGAACTGGAGGATTGTAGACCACTGCCACATATCCTTATAAAAATTAATCTTTCTGACTTCCCTCATTTCTTTATGCTTTGCAAGATACACACACACACACACACACACACACACACACACGAATGCACATGCACATTTGCATGAATGTCAATTCCAAAGTTGTCGAGAACACAACCTGAAGGACAAGCTCGCCTCTAGAAACCAAATCAAACAGCAACAGGATATTCTGAGGAAGCAGTTTGCTTCAAAGAACATTCTTCCTCTAGACACAACCACAAGCAATTATACCTTCCTCCCCCGGCTTAAAGAAAATGGGTCACCTTGGTCTAGTTTTGTACCAGGAGTGGAAGGAAGGAAGTGAAGTGGAGGAAAAGATTTCCCTCAGGAAACTATTCCTCTCCTTTTCCTTCATCCAACAGATTTTCATCTCCCTCTGTAGGGCCAAGGGATATATTTCTCTGAGAGAAAGCTTGTGTTTCTCAGTAATATTATCAGAGGAAACAATCAAAAGAATTTCAAATGACTGTAGAAGTAACTTTTTATATCTAAAAAGGAAAAACATATAGCAAAGCCCCCCCTCCCCGCCCAAAAAAAAAAAGTTTCAAGAATACAGGAGGTGATAGCAACTTGCTTGTTTTGAGTCCTAGCAGGAAAAGGTTTTAAGAAATGCCCTATTTCTTGGGGCACAAAGACTCTTGTCACTTAGATTGTGAACGTCACAATGAGTAGTATATGGCTGTAAATGATTTCCACAAAAACCACATGATGATAGAAGAAAGGAGGAACCATCTGAGACTCTGGCACTGAGTCTTTGGCTGACTGCAGGCTCCAAGACCCTACAGATCAGCACAGATTGAATCTTAGAAGTCAACTGGTTGCTGCACAGTGGCATGGAGAGAGTATGACCTGCTCTTGGTCTGTCAAACCAAAATCAGTTTCCTAGAAAAAGAGCCTTGGGTGGCTATGGGTGCTTAGAGTAGTAACAGGCAATTCCCTTAACAATTGCTCCAAGATGCCATGTTTTATGTCAGGGATAAAAACCAAGGCAAAGAGGAGAGCGATTGGAGGGAACTGTGCAAGAAACCAACATGAGCACATCAGTCTCCTGCCAATTTCAGGCCCCAAGAGTGGGTGAGGAGGATGATTCCTCTTGCCAGGAATGAGGCAGAAGTTGGGTCACTTAAATAAAATAAAATTAGGACAAAGTGTACAGCTTCGACCAGCAGGGCATCATGTCTTATACCCTCTATGGTCGCCTCCATGG